TGACACAGATTGTATTATGACGTTTACTAATAAGTTGTGTGTGATAAAGGACCGCATCTCGAGGACTCTGATCGGTGCGGGTGAACAACTTGATGGGGTCTATGTCTTCAAGGGTGTGGCGCCGGTTCGTGCTTACAAGACAGATGGAATTGGATCATGCGATTTGTGGCAGCGGAGATTGGGACACCCTTCTTATCAAACGGTTATTTTGCTTCTTAATATCAGTAATAGTAAGAACAAAACCTATGATGTTTGTTTGAAGGCAAAGCAAACTAGAGATGTTTTTATTCAAAGCGGCAATAAAGCGACCAATTGTTTTGCATTGATTCATTGTGACTTATGGGGTGCTTATAGAGTACCTGCATCTTGCGATGCTATATATTTTTTTACAATTGTTGATGATTATTCTCGAGCAGTTTGGATTTATTTGCTGGCTAAAAAAAGTGAAGTTGGTCGAACACTCAAAAATTTATGTGCAATGATTGAACGACAATTTAATAAAAAGGTTAAGGTGGTGAGAAGTGATAATGGAACAGAGTTTAAATCCTTGAAATCATATTTTGACGAGCAAGGGATTTTATTTCAGACTTTCTGTGTTGGAACACCACAACAAAATGGTCGTGTGGAGAAAGCATCGTCATATCTTGAATGTGGCCAGAGCACTCAGGTTTCAAGCACATCTTCCGATCAATTTCTGGGGTGAGTGTGTTTTGACCGCAAGGTACTTGATTAACCGGACACCTTCGACCCTTCTTGGTGGTAAAACACCTTACGAGATGCTGTTTGGACAAAGTTCTTCTTATAAACATCTCAGAGTTTTTGGTTGCTTGTGTTTTTCTTATACTCGGGACTGTGACAAATTTGCTGCTAAGAGTAGGAAATGTGTCTTTGTTGGGTATCCTTTTGGGAAAAAGGGATGGAAATTATACGATCTTGAGTGTTGTGATTACTTCGTCTCACAAGACGTGGTGTTTGGTGAGGCCGAGTTTCCCTTTGCCACTCCGGAACATCAACCCTTAGTAACCAGTCCTCCCGTAGCCAAAGAAAATGTTGGGTTGCCTTGGGCCACTCCTCATAACATGGTATCTGAGTCACTTCATATAGAAGTTAGAGGAAGCGACACGATCAATGAAGAAGGACATCAGAACACGGGTAATGATGAGGAGGCAGGTCCTCTTGATGAGACAAGGAGCCATACAGATTGCAGAAATAATGAAACTCCAACTGCTCCTCAGCCCACCACGGAGATATTAGGCCACGGAAATCAAGAAAAACGCCCCCCAGCTATTTATAGGACTTTGTCACACACTCTTCTCGTCATTTAGACCCCTCCGTTGTTTCTCCCGCATCATCTCAGTCCTCAGGTACTCCTTATCCCATAACTCATTATGTGACGTATGATAATTTTTCTGTGAAACACAAGCATTTCTTGGCAGTTGTTACTACAGGCCGAGAACCTACTCGTTTCTCTGAGGCAATGACTGATGCTCAGTGGCGTGAGGCTATGCGCCAAGAGATACAGGCTTTAGAAGACAATGGGACATGGACCTTGGAAGACCTCCCACTTGGAAAAAAGGCAATCGGGTGTAAATGGGTTTACAAAATCAAGTACAACTCTGATGGATTCATTGAAAGATTTAAAGCACAGTTGGTAGTCCTGGGCAACACTCAAGTTGAAGGTCTTGATTATAACGAGACCTTTGCCAATGTGGCTAAAATGGTCACAGTTTGAACTTTCTTAGCAGTTGTTGCGGCCCAACATTAGGAATTGCATCAGATGGATGTCCACAATGCTTTTCTGTACGGTGATTTCCATGAGGAGGTCTATATGAAACCTCCTCCAGGTTTTTCGGCCTCCGGGACTGGAAAGGTATGCAAACTCCGGAAATCTTTGTATGGTCTGTGGCAAGCCCCCCGGAACTGGTTCTCTAAGTTAGGTGCTGCCTTGAAAACTTTTGGGTTTGAACAGTCCTATTCCAATTATTCCTTATTTACATATCACAAGAATGGGCTTGTCTTGCACATCCTGGTTTATGTTGATGACTTAATTGTTGGTGGGAATAACCCGGAGTTCATACACAAATTTAAACAGTATATGAACTGGTGTTTTCACATGAAGGACTTGAGTGTTCTTAAATATTTTTTGGGCATCGAAGTGACTCGCAGATCATCAGGGATATTTCTTTGCCAAAGAAAATATGCACTTGATATTATTACAGAAACTGGCATATTAGGGTCCAAACCTGCTCCCTTTCCTATTACTCAGAATCATAAACTTGCCCTTGCTGACGGAGCACTCCTGTATGACCCTGAACGATATCGACGTCTTGTGGACCGTTTGATTTATTTAACCATTACACGGCCGGAGCTCAGTTATTACATCCATGTCCTGGCTCAATTTATGCAGTGTCCTCGTGTTGATCATTGGGATGCGGCATTACATGTGGTTCGTTATCTGAAAGGACATCCTGGTCAAGGAATATTTTTGCGTTCTGATTGTGGTTTACAATTATATGCCTATTATGATTCCGACTGGGCGAGTTGCTCTCTAACTCGTCACTCTCTTACTAGGTACTTTGTCATTTTAGGACATTCCCCCATCTCCTAGAAGACTAAGAAACAACATACTGTCTCCCAGTCCTCTGCCGAGGCTGAATACCGGTCAATGGCTACTACCAGTTGTGAGTTGAAGTGGCTGAAAGGTCTGTTGTCATTTTTGGGTATATCTCATCCTCAACCTATACGCTTGTTTTGTGACAATCAAGCTGCTCTGCACATTGCTGTGAACCCTGTCTTCCATGAGCGAACCAAACATATTGAAGTTGATTGTCATTTCATTCGCAATAAACTCAAGTTGGCACCATTGCACCTTCCTATGTACGTACCGGTGAACAAGTTACCAACGTTTTCACAAAGACTCTCGGACAAAAACAGTTTGATTTTTTCTTTCCCAAGCTGGGCATTCGCAATCCTCATGCACCACCTTGAGGGGGAGTATTGGACAAAGATAAGACTCATGAGAGTCCCGGATAAGAAGTAGAGTCCCAGATTGACTCGTGAGAGTCCCGGATAGGAAGTCTTTTTGTTTTGCTTTTCTTTTTGGATTAGGAAGACCTTTGTTTTTAGAAAGTTTTGGGGAACAAGGAACTCCATCGTTTGTATATAAATATCATAAGGTATCAATGGAAAAAGGACACCTTTGGCTTCCGAAATTTTTCACCCAATCAACTTTGGGCGATCATTTAATTCCAAATATGATGATTCTTACAGGTGAGAACAACAGAGCTTCCAGACAACAAGAGAAGCTTGTTCTTGGCTCCATTGAGAGGGATGGAAGCTGGATCGAGAAAAGGATGGGAGGTGAAAGAAGATGAAAATGGTCTCTATGTGAGGATCGACATGCTAGGGCTTAGGAAAGAGAATGTTAAGGCTTCCATGGAGAAGAACACCTTGATTATCAAGGGAGAAGGGGAAAAGGAATCCGAGGAGGAAGATAGCGGACGAAGGTACAGTAACATGATTGACCTCCCTGAGAAGCTCTACAAGATCGACAAGATTAAAGCTGAGATGAAGAATTGTGTACTCAAAGGTTGTAGTTCTGAAGGTGTAGGAAGAAGAGAGGAAGGACATTTTCCATTTGACTGAACTAACCTGATGGTGGAGATTTAGCTGTAGTTAGTTTTTGCAGAAATCGAAACGAGGTGCTTGTTCAAAGGCTGTGGAACCAATGTTAAGGTTCCACGTCAGCATTTAAATATATGGACCCATACTTTTTACCATGGGGCCTATGAATTTATTAGTGGCCTGGAACCTCATATTAGTAACAGAAGAAATGTAAGGTGGGTCTTCTGAGTTTCGACACAAATGAATAATACTTTAATTTCTTTCGTAAAAAAAATCATTATTACTTTTTTTGATAATAAAAGAAGGGGCTACACAAGATAGAGGTAGCATGTCCCCACAAATAACTACAACAAATAAACGCAAAAGGCCAAGGTAGTTTACAAAGGTTCAAAGAAATACAGCTATCACTCGATAATTAGGCTTCATGAGCATGGTGGGCCAGTTAATCCGTAGCCTGATTTGCTTTGCAAAAGGCATACTTGTAAATCAAGGTTCAAAAAACCGTTATGTACCAGCCCATATCGTATCGTGTCGTCAAGCACTTTTCTTCAGCAGCCACCCAAACAAAAAACTTCACTTTAGAGGGGGCCAAACCACCCCACACTAATTGACTGGGGAAAGAGCCTAGGGATGCAGGCTCCAAACCAGAATAAAAAGATTTCACTGAAAAGGCTTCAGACTTTGACCAACCCCAACAGATCCTATTCTTTGTGTTGTCATACTGAAACATCTGTATCTCAATATAAAACTAAGTAGAGGCCATATGATGGAAGTCTTGAATCCTTGGGAACTTCCTCCTAGAGTGGAGAGGAAATATCCATGTTCACCTCGAGTAATCATCAATAAAGCTAATTAAATATTTGTAACCGCCCTCATCAGTAAAAGAAGCAAGGCTCCATACATTGAATGCACAACATGAAAAGGACATTCGGATCTTTTATTACTTTGAGGAAAAGTTCATATACAATGTTTACTCAATTGACACATTTGAAATTGCAAACAGGACACCAAAACAGACTTCAACAACTCAAGAAACAAGACTCTATTTTCAACTTGAGGGGGAGTGTTGAGAAATGGATTGTAACAGTGTTTTTCTTTTCTTATAGTTCCTATTAGACAGTGGGCTTGCTTATTTTTCTCTTCTTTTATTTCCACAAACTACTATAAATAGGACTGGGAGACACAATGGCTCCATTATTTGGAGTTCTCTCCAATTCTCTTCTATCACCATTCTCTTTTACAATTCTACAGTTTTTTTCCTTTATTTTTCTGTATTTTCTCCTTCAACTATCTTCTCTTCTTGAACTCTCTTTTATTTCCAGCACCTACAGTTCTTTCACAATTTTAAAAGATTAGGGGCAACACCAACAAAAGAATTTACACATGTACAAATTTATTGGCTAAAAATGAAGCGGGGACTAACATCAGAGTTTAAAAACAAAACAAGTTTACATCATTCTCTCTTACAATTCTACAGTTTTTTCTTTTACTTTTCCGCATTCTCTGCTTCAACTATGTTCACCTCCTCAACTCTCTTTTATTTCCAGCAACTACAGTTTTTCACCATTTTAAAAGATTAGGGGCAGCACCAATAAAAGAATTAGCATATGTACAAATTTATTAGCTAAAAATGAAGTTGAGACTAACATCAGAGTTTAAAAACAAAACAAATTTACACCTCTACGAGTGCAGCTTCTTTTCTGGGGAAAGATCCAATAATAGAAGGAGACAGCCCAACATCCCTTGCCCCTTTAATCATGGCTGTTTCAGTCCATCCCAACCTAACCTGCAAAGCCACAATGACAATTCAAAACTGGATGGTCAAAAAATACTTGCCAAAATAATTCAGTATATTTTCTCCTAATTTTTGCCTAAATTTGACAATTTTAAAAACAAAAGGAGAAAATAGATTGACAAAGCAGAGTAATGCACTAATACTATGATCAGAATGAGGAGGTCCCACAAACAGGAAGGGGGAAATCCAGATTGGATGCACTAACCACATGATGAAGGGAAGCTCGAAGGACACAGGCCTGCTCATCTTGGTATTCAACTCTCTGCCTTTGCTCTTCTTTTGAGCTGTGGGTCTCATAGTGAGGACTTGGTGCACCTTCTTCTGTTGTTGATGATGATGATGAAGCCTTGATTTCAGGGTGTAATTGATGATTATTAGGATTTGGGGGAGATAAAGGTTGAGTATTGGAGTCTGTGGAGAAATGAGAATAGTTGCTAGTGATGATAGGAGAGAAAACAAAACGTCGATTTGTATTATTGATATAGGATGGAAGCACAAAAAGGCGCTTCACCACCGAGTAATACATCTCAATGACACTAGGAGCATTCAGTGAGATTCAGAGAAGGAGGTTCTGCTTACAGCAAAGTGGGGGAAAAGATCAAAAGCCTTGTAAACAGGCAAGGCATACATCAAAACAGTTCTGATAGAGGTTAAATGTATGTATACACAATTAAGTAAAATCCAATCAGACAGCAGCACATAGGAAAAAAGAACATAGACCAAACATAAGAACAACAAACACAGAAGGTATGCATCAAAACAATTTTGCTACAGGTTAGAAAAGGCATACATCAAAACCATTCTGCTACAGATTAATTTTATCTTTAATATGGACAAGAAAAATTAAGCAACAGCACATAGAACACTAAACAAAGAAGACATATACAAACAGGTGTAATACAAAGCATATATAATTCTTGGTGTGAGTTCAAACAACCTAGTTGGTTACTTTCTCAACAAACTAGAAGCAGAACCTCACCACACAGGTATGTCAACAAGGAGCCCACATTTGTAGCTTAAAAGCACCATGGTAGAACTAAGATGAGGAAAACTTGCACAAGTTATATCAGATTGAAGAGCTCATAGGTAAAACGATCACATATTTATAACAATTACAGATATTAGTGGGTCGGGTTAAGTGGTAAACATGCATTGACCCAATCCTATTAGGGTTGGGTCAGCCTTGATCGGGTTTAGGGTTGGTTGTATCTTTATAATCTTTTTCTTCAGTATTCCTTTTTTTACTTTCTTATAAATATCAATCTTCTGCGATTTTTCAGCACACAAAAGACAAGAAACCAAAACATTTAGACAAAATAGAAATCAGGGGATAATCAATATCCTGATGGTGATCAATGAATACAAATGATCCACAACGGAAGGGAACAAGGTTGTATCTGATATTTGATCCATAAAGGGAAGATGCCAACTACACACATACACAGGTGTATCTGATGTATGCAATTAACAAAATGCCTAATTTGAGAATTTGAACAAATTCACCAGTGCATTAGATGCTAAGTAATCAAAATATTTAAAACAGAACATCCTAACAAGGGCAATACATTGGTTGAAAACCCTGAACTCCTTTCAGTTTTTCACTTTTGATGACCTCTGGGGGAACTAGTTGGAAGTGGCAAATAGTTCTACAGGAAGAAGCAGGTCCATTACAGCTTGGGCTCCACCTTTGGAAGGGTTTATAAAAGTGAATTTTGATGGGAGCAATCAGGATAATCCCGGCTTGTCTGGGGTAGGCAGTAGGCTTCTCTTGTCTTTGTTTTCAGGGCCCGTGGGTATTCAGATTGCAAATCAACTTGGGATGAACAACTTAGTCATAGAGGGTGATTCTTCTCAGGTGGCTTTGGGGTGGTTGCAGGAGCAGGATTCTGTTACTTGGAAGTATAGGGATCCGCTAAAGAAAATTAAGTGGCTGACTTTGCATATGACTATCAGGAAACAATGGATGAACAGGTCTGCTAATGCAATGGCATATTTATTAGCCAAACAAGGGGCTGCTAGGGATGCTCTTTTTTTGGGCTGTGTTGTAATTTTCAGTTTCAGCTTTAATTGTACAAGGGTGTGGCTGCATCTTGCGCCCCCCTTGGGATGCTCGTATCAGTTTTTATCCTTTGATAATAAAAGATTCAGATCAAAGTTTAGCACAGTTATATTGGAGATATACAATGAGTGGATTCCATAAGGAAGATGCAAAAAGTATGAGAGATATAGAATAAGATAACAATGAATATTTTAGCAATTATTCATAAATGTCTCTCAAAATCAAGAAGCTGAATAACTACCAACTAAGAATGATCCACAGTAAAAACATATTCTTTTTGCATTTCTTAGTGGGCCAGATTGGCATGCAGAACTACCAATAAGAAAAAATATTGGTTTTCAGAACTGTATGAACAATAACCCAAAAATGAAAACATTATAACTTGACAAACTTGAGAACACAGATTCAAGTCTGAGGATCGCCACTTCATGCAGAATGTGTCAGAACTTAAGTCCGTAATTCTGTATAAACCCACCCCTCCCAAGATCCCGAATGACCAGGACCAGCATTGAGTAATAACCTTCACGTTAGCTTGACAAGCATAGTTGTCAAGGCAACGCCTACACAAGAAGGTGCCCTTGGAGGCTCGCCTCACCCAGTCACCAAGCAGTTTTGTGCACTGGGTTATAAAATACTTTTATATTTTTAATTTTTTGACATTACAATTATAAAATAGGCATTATTAAACTAGAATATTCATTTTATGTGTTTATATACTAATTTATTTTTATTATTTTCTTATTTGTTAGGGTTTAATCAATGCAAACATTGCTAACTGCTGTATTGAACCCATGGTTCAAAGTATCGATACACCTCTATGTATCGGCAGAGGTGTATCAATACTTATAACGATACTCCCCTTATTTTTTTATTTCTTTGGTTTTCAATTTCATTTTTAAATATAATATATATATATATATATTATTTAAAAAATGGGTCCCCGAAAACACCTGTAAACAGGTGTATCGAGACCCCAAAGATACAATACAATACACCCGATACAAGGTGTATCGTATCAAAATTTTGATCCTTGATTGAACCCTCAAAAATTTCAAAACCTGAACCAATAACCAAGGGAAGAACTTAAAATTTTGTCTAATCAACACATTTTCTTCTTCCACCTTTTCTTTTCTTCTTTCCTATAACAAAAGTAGGGGTTCAGCCCCTATATTTTTTGAATTTTCTTTCCTTTGTTTTTTTTCTTCTCATAAAATGTTGATTTTCTAGACTTAAACATGAAAGTTATACTTCTCTTATGAAAATTTATGAATAATTATCAAGGAAAGATGGTTATGGAACCTAGGGAACTACCCTAGGATATATGGTTTTACTTAAAAAAAATCCATCGCCTAGGCATCACCTAGGCGCCCGCCTAGGAGACTAGGCGACAAGGTGCCCCCTTGTCACCTAGCCTCGCCTTGGCACCTTGAAAACTATGTTGACAAGTTGCTGAAGAAATCATCTTAAGAATAAAAGAAACAACCTAGACTTCTAGTGAGTCAATTGAATTCATGCTACCTATCAATGTTCATGGTGACTTGAATGATCATACGAGCAAACACATTTGATAAGAAAAGCAATTACACAAGATCATGATTATTCAACCCCAAGAATAGCTCAAGCTGATTGGTTACAAGGATGCTGCCAAATGCAGCTCAAATCATTAAAACAATTCTTACATAGCATGAGTTTTGCCCAAAATCCAAGTTAAGGTTTCAAGTTTCAACTATGCGTGTGTGGGGAAAGACACCACCAAAAGGAGTTCACTTAGGCCATGTTTGGTTCAATTCTCATTTTTTCTCATCTTTACCTAGGATGAGATTCTATGATGGGCAAGAATAGGAAAAAATGAGCATAATGAGAAAATATTGCTGTGAACCAAATGCTTTTTTCCAAAAAAAAATAAATGAATTCTTTTTGAGGCAAGAATGAGAATGAATTTAGACCTGTTTGGTTACAATTTCCATTCTCATTCCTTTTGAATTAATATTTTGTGCTATATTTAGGTGTGATTATTTGTAGCCCAGACTAGAAGCCTGGATCAATTCAAACCAAAAATTTCAGGATTGGGCTTAGGTTTTGTTTTCAGCCTGGCCTGGGCTGCATGGGCCCACATTAAGAATTACTTACTATGTGGGTCCCGCATATAAAACCTAATTTATATGCTTTATCATTCTATTGCAAAAAGAAAAAAGTAAAAAGAAAAATTCCAATTCTACCACTATAATATATTTTTTTTTTGATGAATAATAATAAGTTTATTGATTCAGAAGCAAATTAGAGTGAGTTCATACATCATCCCAAACGAGAGGCACGAGCTGCAGCCCCTCCTTGAAACTTACAAGTAAACTAGGAAAGAAAAACAAGAATCACAACTGAGCCCAAAATAATTCTTCTACTAATTGGTTAATTTAACTAGGCCAATTTTAAGACAAATCATGAACTTCTACTAATTGGAACTCAAAATTTAGAATTATATAACAAAAAATAAATAAGGATCCAACTCCTAGTACAAGTTCTACCAAAAACAAAATCCTAGTACAACAAATAATCACTAATCAGCCATAAGTAAATCAATGCAATTATAAGCCATGACAAAAATCAAAAGATAGGACTATTTTGTTGTCTTTGGGCCTAAGATTAAGAGCCAAAATGTAAGCTAGACACATCTATCCAAATAGTGAAATTGATACAGGTCAGTGCTATCATAATGTGTTGAGAAATGCTTGATGCACTTGTTGCCTTTGAGATTTTGAAGTTCTTTTTCCAAAACATCCTATATGAGCAAGAGTTGCTAATCAGCAAAAAAGTTATCTTAGCAACATGCCATATCCTTAATGATAGATCAATGTATGCAAATATGTTTCTTCAACAACATGAAACACCACTTATCATGCCAAAATGGCTTGGATACAAATATGCAATTCCTGTCACTTTAATATGAGAGTCTCAAACTCACCTTGACTAACCTATATGCATAAACAAGTATTCAGGTTACCCAAAAAAAAAGTGACCTAAGTTAAGAGCCAAACAAAATGCAGAAGACATTGGAATTGTGGTGATAATAAGATCGTGAATCAACTTTAAGAACCTATACTCAAAGCATTAGGAGAATTATACGCTGCAAACCAGAAACAAAGTATTACTCTGTGCTTGCTAACCAGATGGCCCTGCTTGCAACTAGAAGTTTGGGTGCTCCCAACCCAAAATCAGAGTTGGAATTGATCACATGCAAACCGCTTTTAGCAACTATAAGCAGATGACCCTGCTTGCAATCGTCAGAACTCTTGCCCCAAATAGAGGGGACAAGTTTGGGTGTTCCCAACCTAACCTCAAAACTATTTTTTTTTCCTTGTGTTTAATTCTTATAAAAAAACTACCAAATTACAAACTAAGTCTGCATCATAAACTAAAAGGAAACAACTCACACACGATAACAAAGAACAAAAGAAAATAAATACATATAGCATTTTAGGACTTGCTGAAAACTAACCATCTGAACAAAGTTTGGAAATGGCCCAAATAATAAATTCCTGTCCATATGGCTATGGTGTTTTGGTGTTGAGATTGTTGCACTTTAACAAGAGTAATTCCAAGTAAATATGGTGTTAGCTTGTATGCCACTTTCAACCAACACGCTATATAGCATACTCATTCAACCTTGCCCTCAAATAACCATTCAAGATTGCCATCCATGAAACAACATATCTTTCCATCATTCTATCAAACACCTTACGAGCCTCCAATAAATTACCAACAAATTATCATCTACAAACATCACAGGAGTTCTTAAATATTTTACAATGATTGCATGCAATCTTCAACTTCTTTCACAGCATAAGATGATCAAATAAGGAAGCATACACATCAGGATCCCTCAATATAGAATCGAATAAATTGGCTCCTGGGTTTTGTGTAGAATGGGGAACGTGGTAGAGGTTCTGTATTTTGTTATAAACAATATATTTTGACAAGGAAAAAAGTCAAAAACACAAAAACTATGATATTTTATGAGATTCTTGTACTACTTCTAGTTTGTCCTAATCTGCCTGCTCTCTTTTGATGATTAAGATGGTTGAGGAAACAACAAAGTAGTTGAAATTTAGGAATGTATAAGAAGGCGGGTGAAAGCATCGCAGGGATTAGCCGTTTTCACGGGAACACAGACGGTTTGAATCTAGACCGATCCCTATTCCTATTACCCTAAGCAAAGAAGAGGAAGGGAGAGGAGCAAGGAGCAAGGAACAAGGAGCAAAATCAGAAGGAGAACGCAAGCTCTTACCAGATTCCACTCTATTGCTAAGACTGCTGTGAATAGCTGAGAGAGAGGAGCAAACCTAAATACGGTACCAAACTTGTTCAAACGAACGGGATCGGCTTCGGTCAGTGCAAGGCCCGTTCGAATACTCATTTCCAAACGAAATCATGTTCATTCATAAGATGCAGTGCCTCCCTCACGATTGAGATATGCTCCTCACACCGACCTCACAGAAGCATTCCACCGTGTATTGGGAACATCTCCCATTAGTATGAGAAATGTTCTCGATGTGCGGCTGAAAAATGCTGTGAGGTTAGTGTGAGAAGCAGATTCTAACTCCTCCGTCACTCTGTGGGACATATACATGGAGGATATCACAAATCCGTGAAAGGATCTGTTCCTCATAAATCGGCACCTCACAAACACATTCACTGTGCATTAGCAATATCTCCCATGAATATTCATTAATAAGTACAGGAAATGTTTCCTATGCATAGTAGAATGTGTGTATGAAACACCAGTGAGGTGCCAGATGTGAGGAGCAGATCCAGTCTCCACAAATCCCAAATCCCATATTGGATGTTTGATTGATTGTGTATATACACATGCAAGCTGTGCCTTTTTAATGCTATGTTGGAATCTACTTAATAACTGTACCCATCTCGTACGTGTATGACTTACCTTTTCACGCAGGATGTTGTAAAGTAAACCGACGTCAAGGGGGTCACCCCATTGTAACCATAATCACATGTGTTGCATAGTTGCCACCTGTCCTCTAATAAATCTTTTGGGCCCATTGTGATTTGGCCCGAGTTAGACAAACTTTG